TGGCCAGACAGCCCAGAAAACTCACAGCAACCCTATTATTATTATTATTATTATTATTATTATTATTATTACATCATGTTATATTATTATATTATACTACATTATACAATAATAATAATAATAATAATAATAATAATAATAATAATAACTTCTATTAGGGGGAGTGGGTACTTTCCCACATCCATCCCCGCAACTTGTTTTCCATCAATGTTATAGCTATCACCTTAGAGATCAAAAGTCCTGAACGTTCACCTTCAGAGTGCAAAGATGGGCTCATGTTTTTTTCTCTTTTCCCCTACCACGTTCCACCAAGATGTGGGCGAAATGTCAGGAGAAAATGCTTCTGGAACATGGCCAGACAGCCCAGAAAACTCACAGCAACCTTATTATTATTATTATTATTACATCATGTTATATTATTACATTATATTATACTACATTATACATTATTAATAATAATAATAATTATTATTATTATTACTTCTATTAAAGGGAGTGGGTACTTTCCCACATCCATCCCCACAAGTTGTTTTCCATCAATGCTATGAGAACTATCACCTTGGAGATAAAAAGTCCTGCGTTCGCCTTCAGATTGCAAAGATGGGCTCATGTTTTTTTCTCTTTTCCCCTACCACGTTCCACCAAGACGTGGGCGAAATGTCAGGAGAGAATGCTTCTGGAACATGGCCAGACAGCCCAGAAAACTCACAGCAACCCTATTATTATTATTACATCATGTTATATTATTACATTATATTATACTACATTATACATTAATGTAGTATAATATACATATTATAATAATTATTATTAATAATAATTAATTATTATTATTATTATTATTATTACTTCTATTAGAGGGAGTGGATACATTCCCACGTCCATCCCCACAAGTTGTTTTCCATCAATGGTATGAGAACTATCACCTTAGAGATAAAAAGTCCTGAACGTTCACCTTCAGAGTGCAAAGATGGGCTCATGTTTTTGTCCCCTACCACGTTCCACCAAGACGTGGGCGAAATGTCAGGAGAGAATGCTTCTGGAACATGGCCAGACAGCCCAGAAAACCCACAGCAACCCTATTATTATTATTATTATTATATTATACTACATTATACAATAATAATAATAATAATAATAATAATAATAATAATAATAACTTCTATTAGGGGGAGTGGGTACTTTCCCACATCCATCCCCGCAACTTGTTTTCCATCAATGTTATAGCTATCACCTTAGAGATCAAAAGTCCTGAACGTTCACCTTCAGAGTGCAAAGATGGGCTCATGTTTTTGTCCCCTACCACGTTCCACCAAGACGTGGGCGAAATGTCAGGAGAGAATGCTTCTGGAACATGGCCAGACAGCCCAGAAAACCCACAGCAACCCTATTATTATTATTATTATTATTATTATTATTATTATTATTATTACATCATGTTATATTATTACATTATATTATACTACATTACACATTAATAATAATAATAATTATTATTATTATTACTTCTATTAGAGGGAGTGGATACATTCCCACATCCATCCCCACAAGTTGTTTTCCATCAATGGTATGAGAACTATCACCTTAAAGATAAAAAGTCCTGAACGTTCACCTTCAGAGTGCAAAGATGGGCTCATGTTTTTGTCCCCTACCACGTTCCACCAAGACGTGGGCGAAATGTCAGGAGAGAATGCTTCTGGAACATGGCCAGACAGCCCAGAAAACCCACAGCAACCCTATTATTATTATTATTATTATTATTATTATTATTATTATTATTACATCATGTTATATTATTATATTATACTACATTTTACAATAATAATAATAATAACTTCTATTAGGGGGAGTGGGTACTTTGTTGTGGTTTGTTAGTTTATATTGAAAATACACAGTAGTCTTCCCAGCTCCAGGCACCAGGTTGAAAATACACAGAGCATAAAAGAAAAATGTCTTTACTCTTGAGTAGTCAACACATGTATTTTATAAAGAAACATACAGTAGCCTTGAAAACACATTGTCCACATTGTCCATCGCAGAAGGAAAAAAACTTACAAAACAATGCATTAATCTGCTTCTTTCCAGCAAACCTTGAAGTGTAGTTCCATCTCTGATTACTTCATTTCACCCACTACCTGCATCAAGAAAACTTCACCTGATATACATCCTAATCAGGGAGTGGTTCTTCCTCACCACACGTATAAGCAAGAGATGATTCTTGTCAAGACTTACAAAATCATATACTGTAACATACTTTCCCAATTTAAAATAATTTTAACATAAAAAATTGAACAGACTAACATTTAAACATACTGTAAGCTGCTTCAGGTCATATTGTGAGTTCATTTAGGTTCCAAGTTAGCAGAAATCTAGGATATAAATTAAACTCTCTTTATACTGAGAAATCAAACAAGACAGTTTAAAACCTGCTATGACTGTCAAAGACAATTCAAAACTACACTGCTGTCCAAATTTAAACAAAACTGGGTGTCAACATCAGTAAAGCAAATTGTAGCAAAACATCCAATGATTATAGTTAAACCTTTATTCTTACAAAAAATGAGCTAAAAAGTAATATCCAATTATGAAAAATAAAATTAAAAAGCTCTGGAAGTTCATATTTAAAATCTAGCCTATTCAACTAGACTGAGTTGTGTTATTCCTTATTAATTCAAAAGATC